AACCACCATCAGTATCAGCATCATCATCATCAGCAGCAGCAACGGTACCAATATCAGCAACAGCAGCAGAATCATCATCAGCATCAGCATCATCCTCATCATCATCAGCATCATCATCATGAACCTCCTCATAATCATCCTCACCATCACCAGCATCATCATCATCAGCATCATCGTCAGCATCGTCATCATCATCATCAGCAGCATCATCGTCAGCATCGTCATCCTCATCATTATGATTAGAAGACGAAAAAGACGAATAGTAATAATAATCATCATGCTCGTCATCATCATCAGCAGCAGCATCATCATCATCGGCAGCATCATCACCATCGCTGCCGTCGTCAGCACGATCATGATATTACTAACGATGATAGAAAGGAAATTAAAATAATGTTATTGCTAAACTATTAGGATAAGAGAATAAGCATAACGAGAACTATTACAATAACAATGATAACAATCATAATGAAACTATCAAATATATATCCCTACTAAGATCGACAAAAAAACGCATCATATGAATAGAAAAATACGAACAATGAGAAGAAGAAACACAATCACCATCATCAGCATCATCATGAAAATGAAGGAGACATCATGGACATCATCATCATCATCATCGGCAGCATCATCACCAGAATCATTATCATCGTCATGATCCGAATCATCATTATCGTCAGCATCGTCATCACAAAAATCAGTTACAGCATCATCATCATTATCATCATCATCATCAGTATGATCAGCAGCCCCACCATCATCATCAGCACAGTTATCCTAGTCATCATCATCCCGATCATCCTCATCATCATCACCATCATCACCACCACCCCCATCATCAGCATCATCATCTGCATCATCATCACCACCACCACCACAATCGTCATCATCATCACCATCGTCATCACCACCACTATCATCATTACCGCCACCATCATCATCATCGCCATCATCATCAACGAAATTAGCATCATCATCACCTGTATCATCAGCAGCAGCATCATCGTCAGCATCATCATCATCATCAAGCTCGTCATCATCATCATCATCATCATCATCATCCTCATCATCATCATCATCATCATCATCATCATCACCATCAGCATCATCATCATCATCGTCCGCTTCCTCATCATCCTCCTTTCTCTCATCCTTCATCCCTCCCTCCCTCCCTCCCTCCCCTTCCTCAATCCCTCCCTCCTCCCTCCTCCTCTTCCCTCCTTCCCTCCTCCCTCCTCCCTCCTCCTCTCCTCCCTCCTCCCTCCTCCCTCCTCCCTCCTCCCTCCTCCCTCCCTCCTCCCTCCTTCCTCCTTCATCCTTCCTCCTTCCTCCTTCCTCCTCGTCTTTGCGCCGCTCCCCTTCTCTCCTTCTCCCCGGCCCGCGCCGGAGCGCCCGCCCCCCCCGGGGGCGATCTCAGGACTCGAAGCGGGGCAGCGCGGGGGGGCGCTTGTCCGCGCACTCCGACCGCAGCTTCACGCGCAGGTCCCGCTCCGCCTGCAGCGGAGGTCCCAGAGATCCGAGGCTCCGAAGAGAGTGGAGCGGCGGGCTTTCGCCAATTTTCGGCCTCCGGGGGCCCTCGCCGGGCCTCGGGACGGAAAACCGGCCCTGGGAAAGTGGTCCAGTCATCCGGGGCCCACGAATCGAAGAAATTGGAGCTCCAGGTGCTGCCAGAAGTGGCCTTGGCCCCAAGGTGGCCCAAGGATTTCACGAGAGACCCAGATTCGAGGAAGGAGAAACAGCGCACAAGCACCAGGAAAGCGTTCGCAGGTCCGCGCGGACATTCGAAGATGCATGTTCGTGCAGTTGTTTCACGAGGCCCGGAGGGCCCCAAGGGCCACAGGCTCCAGGATGTCATGGAAAGCTGGGGGCTGGGCCAAGACCGACTCAACCCCCGAAGGGGGTGAAGGAACGGGCGGACGAACGAACGCCGGAAACGTGCGCGTTCTGCTGCGGAGCGCGCCAGTGCTCATCTGGGCACGGCGTGAAGCCGCAGCCCTGACAACGAAGACCACGAATGCCAACATGCGGAACTTGTGCTGGCTCGCGTGAGGAAGGAGGAAAGTGGAGTCTCTCGCCGTCGCAGCATGCCAACCTGCAAGCATCCCCTGCCCCACCCACCGCGGATGAATGAAGATCTGTTCGTGGACGCTGCCCTACGAGCCTTCCTCTGGCCTCTGGCGCTCTGGCTACGGTGAGGGGGAGGGAAGGATACACCCAGGCCTGAAACGAAAAGACCCTCAAGGCGAGTACGTAGGGTGCAACCAACCCACCACCCCCTCACTCCTGGAGAAAGGATCTTGAAGTTCTTTCTCGTTCCAGGCCCTCTGGGGACCCTCGTCGCGACGGCCAACTTACATCTAGATTGTGGTGACTATGCGCTCCATGGAGATGCTCAGGGGTCGACGTTGAGGAAAGACAGAGACAAGGAAAAGGGAAGAGGAGGGGGAGGATTATTCCGCCTCGTCTACCTCATCTTCCTCCACGTCCTCCTCCTCCTCCTCCAACATTACCATCGTCCTCATCATCATCATCATCATCATCATCATCAGCATCATCATCATCATCATCAGCAGCAGCAGCAGCATCAACACCATAATCATCACCAGCATCATCATCATCATCATCATCATCATCATCATCATCATCATCATCATCATCATCATCATCATCATCATCAATATCATGGTCATCATCATCATCATCATCATAGTCAGAATCAACAGCATCATCGGTATCATCATCAGTATCATCATAAGCAGCAGCAGTATCGTGAGCAGCATCATCATCGTCATCATCATCATCATCATCATCATCATCATCATCATCATCATCATCGTCATCATTCAAATTGTGATTGCTATCATCATTAGCAACAACAAGACGAGCATCTTCTTCATCATCATCAGCATCATCAGAATCAGCATCATCATCATCGCGGTCGTCGTCTCGTCGACATCATCATCATCATCATCATCATCATCATCATCATCATAGGCATAACCATCATCATCAGAATCAGCATCATCATCAGCAGCGCCATCACCATCATCATCATCGGCATCGTCATCATCATAATCAGCTCATCAGCATCAGCAGTAACATTATCATCATCAGCATCAACACACCATCATCATCATCGCCATCATCATCATAATCATCATCATCATTATCATCAGCAGCAGCATCATCAGCATTATCCCTATAGTTCCCCTCCTCCTCGTGTCCCTCCTCCACCAACTTCATCACCACCACCACTATAAGTATCGTCAACACCACCATCACTATCACAATCACCATCGAGGTAAGTATCACCACTATCATATTCATCATCAGCAGCAGCAAGAAGAGAAGGAGGAGGAGCAGGAGAAGAAGGAGAAAAGGGGATAGGCGGCTAGGCATCGATGCAGGCCTATCGACTGGCTCCGATTGGCGGCTCGGACGACGCCACATTGTGGTGCGGTGGCAAGCTACCCAAGCGGAGGCACACCTCCTCCCCCTCCTCCTCATCCCCCTCCTCCTCCTCCTCCTCCTCCTCATCATCATCATCATCATCATCATCATCATCATCATCATCATCATCATCATCACCATCAACATGTTCATCATCACTCATCCATCATCATCAGCAGCATCAGCAGCATCATCAGCAGCAGCAACATCCTCATCATCAGCAGCAGCATCCAAAGCATCATAATCATAAACATCAGCATCACCATCATCATCAGCATCATCAACGACATGATCAGCATCATCACCAAAATCATCATCATCAGCAACAGCATCATCATAATAATAATAAACATCCTCACATGCATCATCATCCTCATGATCTTCAGCATCTCAACCACCACCACCATTCTTATGAGCATTACCGTCAATATCCGCCACCGTGCCTCTGGGCACGGAGTGGGCGTGTCCGCAGGTCCTTTGCCCAATCCCCTGCGCCCCAGCCCTGTCCCGAGGAGTCTCAGAGGGGGCCGGGCCCCAAACTTCTCAAATCTCTTCTCGGACTTGGCGCGTGCCCCCCTAAGGGGTTCCCGGCGTGGTGGCGCGTGGCTTTTTCGGGCCCTGGAAGGCTCCGTCACGGAGCCAGAGAGCCCCAACCCAGAAAGCCCCAACCCAGAAAGCCCCAAGACGCCCCCAAGACGGTCCGAGAGGGCACCGACTCGCCAAACGAGCGCTCCAGGACGCCCAAGATGGCCCCAAGATGGCCCCGAGATGGCCCCAAGAAGCCTCTAAGACGGCCGAAGAAGCCTCCCGAGAGAGCCCCAAGAAGCAAAATTGTTTGCCTTCGGTTCTTGAGCGATGGTGGCACTCTCGCTTTTTCCGCTTCCCAACGCTCTAAGGAGGCCCCAAGACCGCTCCAGAACAGCCCAAGAGGCCTGCAAGAGGGCTCCAAGACGGCCCAAGAGGGCCCCAAGACGGCCCAAGAGGCGCCCAAGACGGTCCAAGAGGGCCCCAAGACGGGCCCGAAAGAGGACCAAGAAGGGGACCACGAACCGAACATTCTAGATCTGTGCCCCGGGAAGGCCCCAAGAGGGCTCCGAGAGGGAGGCCCCAAGATGCGCCCCAGAGGCTTCCAAGAGGTCCCACAGAGGCCCAAAAAAGAACCCAATAGGCTTCAAGACTGCCTCCAAGGAGCCCTCGAGAGGTCAACCACGAGATTCCAACGAACGTCCACGAGGCCTCTGACCCACCACCCAGGCACGCATTCCTTGAACTGCATCTCTCCAGTACCACATCAGGCATACAGACGAACTTTACAGACGAACTTTACCGGTACAACTTGAGGCATACAGGCGACGGCACCTCGTGCACACAGACGACACGCCGCATGTGGTACTTCATTCGTACCACATGAGGCATACAAACGCTATGCCTCAAGCGGTACAGGACTGTACCACTTGAGGCATACAGACTACATGCCTCAAGCTGCCTCAAGTGGTACAAGACTGGTACTGCTTGAGACCCACAGACAGCATGCATCAAGTGGTACTTGTCCTGTACCACGTCAGACAAACTGATGACATGCCTCAAGTGATACTTGGTCGGCACCCATCAGATATCAAAGGCCTCTGCCCATCAACCCAGGCAGGGTGGAGGGATGGGCCGATCCTCGCCGTCGACATCGCTATTCGCCCTCCTCCCTCCCCTCCTCCACCCGCAGTTCCCCTGACATCACCTGCAAGGGGGGCACGGAGCCACCGTCGTGGCCCACCCTGGGCTGCCTTGCACCGCGTTGGCCACTCCGGGCCGCCCACCACGGCCCATCCTTTTCCACCGTGGCCGATCACGTCCCCTCGTGACCCCTCCCAGGCCGCCCTCCATCACCGTGGCCCAACCTGGACCACCTCGAGCCCCCCTGGGCAGCCCTCACAGTGCCCAGCCTGCCACTTGCGGAGCTGCTCGGGCACGGCCCGAACCCAGGGCACGGAGCAAATCTGCCACGGGCCCTCAGCCCTGCGCGCAGGCCTTTCAGGACAGGACCCGTTCACTGCTCATGGTCCAAGGCCGACGAGTCACATACTTGGCGGCCGCTGTTTCTGGATGTTTGGATAACGACTGGCTACAGGTTACCGTTAGCTGGGGCAAGCGACGCGCGAATCGCCGTTACGCGCTGCGCTCCTGAGAGGGCTGGAACTATCACTACCACGATTAATCGTTCGCATCACTACCACGATTAGCTGGCCCAAAGCCCTCAAGTGTCTGCAGAGAGTTGAGAAACTCGCGCCGCTCAAGAATTGCACGGATGCTCAGAGACCGCGATGCGGATCATCATGGGCGCGCCCTTGGCGGCCCCTGGTTTCCCTCATGTTGCCCTTCTTCACCAGTGCAAGCAAGAAAACCGCCGCGCCTGCGACCCTGAGATTGCAGCTTCGGCCCCGCCTGTGCTCGCGCAGGCGCGAAAAAAGCGAGCACACAAATTGCAAGCACTGCGGAGCGGTGCGCGTGGACCCTGGGCTCGGCCCTGCCGCCCCTTGCCAGTGGCCAGCCTTGCCGCCGTCGGGCGGCTTTTCCCCCTGGGCAGTTCGCCCTGCCCCAGGGAGGCGGCAGGGGCGGCGCCCAGGCAGCCGCTGCTGCCAGGCCGCGTCGGCACGGCGACGCCGCCCTCCGAGGAAGCGCTGGAGCAGGCCGCCCAGCTGCTCGAGAAGGGTGGCAACTCTGCGGATGCCAGCCAGCACTGCGCGGATCTCAAGGCCGGCCCTGCGCCAGGGCCCTCGGGCCAGAGGCGGACCAGCGCCGCGCCCGCCTCGAGGGGCGACTGGCGAACGGCCAAGGTGCTCCAGCAGCCAGGGGCCTTGTGCCTTGTGGTCGACCTGGCCACGACGAACGGCGCACGTGCACCGTGCCATGCCTGGACCCCCCTCGGGCAATGCTCCAACGCGGTACGGTGTGCAGTTTCTCGGCTCCGAGGGCCGCAGGGCTATGCACACTACCGTTCCTGGGTCGGGGATCGACGACGCCTCGGGAAACGCCAGCGCGGTACGGTGCAT